TGGAGACAATCAAAGGCTAGATTATATCATGCACAGAATAGAGATTACCTTGTAAAAGATTTCTGGTAATCTTTGTAAAAGATTCTTTGCAAAAGAGTTCCTGGTAGTTCTGTCATTATTGATTAGTATTTGCATTTTCCCAGAATAATTAGGCAAGTTTTGTTAAACATACTAATCATCAGAAAGAAGCGTACTGAAGAAAAAGTATCTAGAAAGTGAGGGTTAACCCTCAGAATGCACACATTTGTAAGGTAAGAAACAACACGAAGATACTTAATATATATATTTATTTATTTTTTTTTTTTTGAGACAGAGTCTCACTTTGTTGTCCAGGCTAGAGTGAGTGCCGTGGCATCAGCCTAGCTCACAGCAACCTCAAACACCTGGGCTCAAGGAATCTTCCTGCCTCAGCCTCCAAAGTAGCTGGGACTACAGGCATGTGCCACCATGCCCCGCTAATTTTTTCTCTATATACTAGTTGGCCAATTAATTTCTTTCTATTTATAGTAAGGGTCTCGCTCTTGCTCAGGTTGGTTTCGAACTCCTGAGCTCAAACGATCTGCCCGCCTTGGCCTCCTAGAGAGCTAGAATTACAGGTGTAAGCTACCACGCCTGGCCAATAAATATTGATTTACTTTCCAAATCTAGTTGTAGATCTTTTTTTTTGAGGGGCTAGGATGGGTTGACCATGAAGCAGATATGCTCTCAGTGTCTAATATTAATGCTTGTGACACTGAATACCATTACGTTAGGGACATTCTTTTGTCCTGTGAATGAGAGAGGAAAGAGGAAGAAACTGTCATTTCTGCTTTCTATCATGTGTCAGATGGTGTAGGAGCACTTTTTAAAAACATCCCTCTGTATGAAGACACTTATGAGGAATTTCTTAGTACCAGAAGTAGTGGGGCTTCTTCTAAGTACTTGTATTGTTTATTTCATGGATAATTCATAGATGGTTATGTTTCTCTAGTAACAATATTTACCACTTATTAAGCCTTTACTCTGTTTTAGGCATTATGTTTATCATTTTCATGCATTATCTCTTTGAATCTTCATTGCAACAGCCCTTTTGTAGAGCTATTATCCCATGTTTTAGATGAGAACACTAAAATTCAGATTAAGTGACTGACTTTTCTAAAGTCACACATAGCCCAGGTGTTTCTTCCTGAGATATTTATTTATTCTGTTGGTCTCCTCTTTGTTCAGTTCTGAATGCCTGACCTGTATCCTAAGCTTTTCTTTACTTAGCAATCCATGTCTAGAAGGAGGTAGAAAGAGTAGGACCCAGAACCTAGAGAAAAACAACAATAAATATGTATTCATATTTACAAATGAATACAAATATGTATTCAACTGCCAGAGATGCTGGCAGTTGACTTAAACTTGAACTACTTCTCAGAAGTAGAACTTATCTCTTTCTGACATTTGTTTATTGATTTTCTTAATTTTTTGTTGTGATATTAGACACTAGCCATGTACATATTAAAACGTGTAATGTTTTGTGGTATAATTATTATTGATTCAGAAAATATTTGTTGAGCATGTACTGTATGCTTGTACATCATTGAACAGCCAGACATAGTCCTGCCTTTGTGGAGTTTATAATTGGCATAAATACTTGAATAGGTGGCTCATGTCTTATATATACTGTTTTTTCCTAAACACACCACAGCAGTCACACTTGTATGCTATAAGAATAGTATAGAATTGGATGGCTTGGAATTTATCTCATTCCAGGAAAACACTAATGAATCCAGAATATGAGGGAATATAACAATCAAGAAATCCATAACTGTGGTTTGTCACTTTGAATGGCACGATTCTTAGAGGTATGTGAGAGTGACAGTACACTAGAGTTTATTTGAAATTTTTAAAAACTAGTGTGAGCTAGAGATCTTTGATGGAGCATTGTCAGAAGAATTTCAGAAACTGCAAGTTGTTACACAGATGTATTGATTTAATTAGTCTAGATAACACCATTTATTTATGCTTAAGCATCTCACACATGCAAAAAGTTGGTAATTCGAAGTCACACAATAATTTGTGAGTTATCTTCTATACCACGAGTTGTAGCTTCTGAATACCGACTTTGGTGAGTGTGTGTGTGTCTCAGATACTTAAACATAAATAAATGATATTATATAGATCAATTAACCAATACAGTTTACTTATGGAATTCTGTTGATGTAGAGTTTCATGTAAAATCTTCTGGTGGTGGCTTTTAAAATAACATTAATTGTTTTTAAATAATTTAATCTCATAGTATTGTGGGCAAGATCCTCCTTGGAGACAGAATATATCTGTGTTCTGCTGGTTAAGGCCTCTTTGGGTATCTGGGTGAACCGTTATAACTTGATAAAATTGTTTTGGTTAACCATACCACAGGTGTTCTGGCTAGTAAGTAGTGAAGAGGTATCCTGTCAGCAAGAAAGATCAACTTTTTATGTGATAAGTAAAATACTATATTATTAATTCTCTTGGGGAGGCAAATCAGTTAGAATTCCTTTTCTTTTTATTTCTCTCTCTCTCTCTCTCTCTCCCCCACCTCCCCCAGTTTTGACTGTAAGAATACCAAGGTATTCTGTGTCTGCCAGATTTTGCAGGACTGTTTTCACACTTTTTTCTAAAAAAAAAAAAAAAAGAAGCTATTAGTTATATATATATATATTTATCTCTTGCTAATTTAAACAGTTTTTTTGTTGTTTAAAGTGGTGAGCTATCAAAAGGAGACTAGAATGTAATTTATATTCTAGGAATTTGGGGAGCATCTTTTATTCCAGAGTTTGGGATGCTTCACCTCTAATTTTTATTTTTTACCATACTCCCTAGAAGATAGAGAGGAGAAGGATTTTTTTTTTTTCTGAGATAGAGTCTCACTTCATTGCCCAGGCTAGAGTGAGTGCCGTGGCGTCAGCCTAGCTCACAGCAACCTAAAACTCCTGGGCTCAAGCAATCCTGCTGCCTCAGCCTCCCGAGTAGCTGGGACTACAGGCATGCGCCACCATGCCTGGCTAATATTTTCTCTATATATTAGTTGGCCAATTAATTTCTTTCTATTTAGAGTAGAGACGGGGTTTCCCTCTTACTCAGGCTGGTTTCGAACTCCTGACCTCGAGCAATCTGCCTGCCTCGGCCTCCCAGAGTGCTAGGATTACAGGCGTGAGCCACCGAGCCCGGCCAAGAAGGATTAATTAACCCAGTTTTACACATAAAAAACCAGAAGCTCATAAGGTCAGATTTGCTATGAAGGTAGTCATAGACACGCAGAGAATTCAGAGCTTGGCAGAGTGTAATACATTGGGAAATGTGATAGGCAGATAATTATTTTCTCAGAAGTCTTGACTCCTGCTGGTCAGTTCTTCTTCCTCTGAGGCTGTCCACTATTTTATCCCCAAGGCAGAAACTTGTTTGCAGGTTGGGGTTACTCTGTAATCTTCAGGAGATGTTAGGAACCCTTCCCGCTTAGCACAGTTGGCTTGGAATTCCAAGCAAGTATATAACATGAGTTTCTTCAGGCTGCCAAATGCCCATGTTAATCAGTGTTCAAAGAATATAAAATGTCACTTTCAGGCCCATTAGTTGTTATTACTTCATGCTGCATAACAGGGTGTCATTTAATCGAATATATGTACATTTAATTGAATAATATACATTAAGATTAGGGATGGGCACATAACCATAGGCAAGGCCTGCTTACTACCCGTTGAATGAAACACAAGAGGAAAAACACATCCTGCAGAGAAAAAGGAAGCCGTATCGTATAAAACAGGAGTCCAGCCACTGATTCCTAGGGGCATAGACAGAATGAATTTATGTGGTAAATAGCTCAGCTTGTGTAGAAAAAAAAATTCATCCATTTGGAGATGAAAAGCAAGGTAGACTTAGTCAAGGTTCTTTATAGTAACTTGCAGGTAATGCGAAGAAAGGACACCTATAAATCCAAATTATAATTACTTTCTATGTTTCTCAAAAATTACTTTTTAATTATTTTAGGGGAGTCTTGTTATATTAGAATAATATTAGTATTTTACCTAAAGCTTCAGTTCTTCAAAAGTTACTGTGTTTCTTTGTTTGTGGACTCACATTACTGCTATCTTTATTAAAAGTCTAGTGATTTGACTTAAATATTTGAGACCTATCTATCCTTTCCCACCTCACAGGTTGTTTCTTTAATAGTGGGCATACAGTTTATCATTTGGGATTTTTTTCCACATGCTCAGATGTGAGCTTGTTTATTTTGTTTGATGTGATTGGAGCTGTCGCTTTCTCAGTCTGTGGCCTGACACTGTCAGAATTGTGTTTGTTGGTTTCAACAATTAGGAATGACACAAGAGCACCCATGCTTTGCCTTTTGCTTTTTTTTTTTTTTTTTTTTTTGAGACAGAGTCTCGCTTGTTGCCCAGGCTATAGTGAGTGCCGTGGCGTCAGCCTAGCTCACAGCAACCTCAAACTCCTGGGCTCAAGGAATCCTTCTGCCTCAGCCTCCCAAGTAGCTGGGACTACAGGCATGCGCCACCATGCTCGGCTAATTATATATATATATATATTAGTTGTCAAATTAATTTCTTTCTATTTAGAGTAGAGATGGGGTCTCGCTCTTGCTCAGGCTGGTTTCGAACTCCTGACCTTGAGCAATCTGCCCACCTCGGCCTCCCAGAGTGCTAGGATTACAGGCGTGAGCCACCACGCCCGGCCTGCCTTTTGCTTTTGTATAGGTTCTTGTCTTTAGGCTCTAAGAAGAAAGCAGCTTTTTCATGTACCATAGTGAAAGTACTCCAAATACCCTTCTGTTAAAAGAAAATAAGCCAACCTCCTTTCACTTCTTATCACATTCCAGGTCCTCTAGATTCCCCTACATTTTTACTTTCATTGTGATTTACTCAGTTGTACTTAATATTTTCTTACTCAACAAGAGTCAGAATATTCCCATTTGCCAGGGAAGAGAAATATTAATAGGTGTTCTGCTTTGGTCATCACTTTGTCACATCTTTCCTTTGCAGACCCCGTATCACGTGAACCTCCTTCTGGCTGGCTATGATGAGCATGAGGGGCCAGCGCTCTACTACATGGACTACCTAGCAGCCTTGGCCAAAGCCCCTTTTGCAGCCCATGGTTATGGTGCCTTCCTGACTCTCAGTATCCTCGACCGATACTACACACCAAGTAAGTAGCAGCTCTAGGTAGGGAGCAGTGGCAGAGCCCTGCCTTCAGCTGCTCCCTAGTTATGTCCACCCTTGCAGTTAGCTGGCTGGGGATTCAGTAGAGGATGTATCCCAAGAAACATAAGCAGGTACCCTCTGAAAGCTTCCCTGTCCTGTGGTCAGTAGGGTTTTCAAAAAGCTGATAAAAGTCCCATTCTTGCCAGCCAGAATGAGATATGTAATATCTCAGAGCTGGGTTTTGTTTTAAAGGGAGGTTAGAGTAGATGTCATAGTGAGTAAAACATTTTTATTAGGTTCTATAATTCTTCAGTTACAAGAATTAATTTTTTTCACTCATTTTACTCTGCCAGATGCTTATTTAAGAATGAATGAGTAAACCAAGTAGCTGTGTATTTATTTTGAACTTGTGAGGATAAACAGGTCCCCAGCATAACAAATGAGGGTTTCTTTGCTTAAGCATAAAAGCCTTTTAAGGCCACAAACCTGGGCCCAGCCCTTGGTTATCACCTAATGGCTGCTCTCTTCTGTAAGAAAAAGCTGTCTCCCTGCTTGTCCATAAACTGTCAGCTTGGCAAAGCTTCAGACACAGGGATGCTTTTGTGCTGTTTTATCTTCTGACCCCAATCCTAACATCATCTTTAGGGACTGTGGACAATAGGCACTTGGGATTCATAGCTTTCACAGGCTACAGATGCAGCACAGGCTGGGTGCAATGGCTCACACCTCTAATCCTAGCACTGGGAGGCTGAGGTGGGAGGATTACTTGAGCTCAGGAGTTCGAGACCAGCCTGAACAAGAGTGAGACCCCATCTCTACAAAAAAAAAGAAAAGAAAAGAAAAAAAAAAAAGCGATGCAGCACAGATAACCACTTCTCTCCTTACATTCCATTCTTCCCTATCAGTATAAGAATCTGGCATATTCATTCCTTTTGGTGCTGCCCTTTCACTCAACCCTTGGTCATGTTAGAGCTCTAGGCCACATCCTGAGAAGAATTAACCTGGCCTCCTAGTGACTGTTTCTTGATTTGGCATCTATCAGTAATACAGATGATTTGCCCACCAAAGTAACCATTAACCAACCCTGAAGCATAACTGCATAATGTGTCACTCCAGTTTTCTATGCCCATGGACAGTTCCTTTGGCTCCTATATTAGGAGAGTCTCAGCCCCATCCTATGAATTCTCTTTCCATTGTTAAACTGAGAACCAGCTGGGAAAGTAAAGCTAAAACTCTGCCCTGTCCTCTCTGTCCCTGATTTGCAGCTGGCTAGGCCAGATGGAATTGATTTAAGCCCTGGACTAAGGTGGGGTGGAGGGGGTGGGCTGTGTAAAAGAGAGGCCGGCTCTGGCTGGGGGAGGCAGAATTCCGTCATGCTTACCCTTCTCTGTAGCAAATCAATTTGGAATGGCTTGTGGTGTTTGGAGCATTGGGTCTGGGGCACCCTCAACTGCATATGGAATAAGTTTGTAGCAGGCTAGAAGGCAAAGTATTTTTTGCCTTTTCCATTTGTGTGGCACTTGGACCTGAAGAAGTTTGAAACTTAATCAAAAGCCACTGAGAGTTGGACTTAATAACAGCACCTGAGTCCTTGGTCTCTTGTTCTCTTTCAGACATCTCACGTGAGAAGGCAGTGGAGCTTCTTAGGAAATGTCTGGAGGAGGTAAGTAGCTCCCATGGGAGCCTGAAAGGAATGTTTTTTCTCTCTTTTTGCCAATATTGTTCCTATTCCTCGGTTGCATTTTTTCTGATCCTTGCCAGAAGGTGTAATAAATACCCACTAACCAGATGTGAAGTTGCTACCAGGGACAGTTTGGTGTGGGTAACAAGCTTATTTTTCTCTCATGGATCACCTCCCATCAATGTCAGTTTTATAGTTTAAGTACTTTTATTTCTGGTTCATCCAGACCAGTGGTTCTCAAATTTTAGTATGTATAAAAATCATTTGGGGGGACGGGTGCGGTGGCTCACGCCTATAATCCTAGCACTCTGGGAGGCAGAGGCGGGTGGATTGTTCAAAGTCAGGAGTTCAGGAAACCAGCCTGAGCAAGAGCGAGACCCCGTCTCTACTAAAAATAGAAAGAAATTAATTGGCCAACTAATATATATAGAAAAAATTAGCCGGGCATGGTAGCGCATGCCTGTAGTCCAGCTACTCAGGAGGCTGAGGCAGAAGGATTGCTTTAGCTCAGGAGTTTGAGGTTGCTGTGAGCTAGGCTGGTGCCATGGCACTCTAGCCCGGACAACAGAGTGAAACTGTCTCAAAAAAAAAAAAAAAGAATCATTTGGGGAACTTGTTTAAAAAGCAGATTACTAGGCCAAGACGGGAGGGTTGCTTGAGGCCAGAAGTTTGAGACCAACCTGGGCTACATAGTGAGACCCTGTCTCAATAAATCAACCAGTATTTTAAAAAGCGGATTGCTGGCCGGGCGCTGGTGGCTCACGCCTATAATCCTAGCACTCTGGGAGGCCGAGGCAGGAGGATTGCTCGAGGTCAGGAGTTTGAAACCAGCCTGAGCAAGAGCGAGACCCTGTCTCTACTCTAAATAGAAAGAAATTAATTGGCCAACTAATATATATAGAAAAAATTAGCCGGGCATGGTGGCACATGCTTGTAGTCCCAGCTACTCGGGAGGCTGAGGCAGTAGGATTGCTTGAGCCCAGGAGTTTGAGGTTGCTGTGAGGTAGGCTGATGCCATGGCACTCTAGCCCGGACAACAGAGTGAAACTGTCTCAAAAAAAAAAAAAAAAGCGGATTGCTGTCTCTGCACCACCCCCCCTCTGATTCCACTATTCTGATATACAAACTGAGACTCTCTGTTTTAACTAGCAGTCTTGAGTGATATTGCCAACCGCAGGTGGTACCTGGGGCCATACTTGACAAACTACTGTTGTAGACTTTATACCTGCTCTGTTCTTGTGCCACTTGTAATTGCCATGCTGTCTGTTCCCTTAACAGTGCATGAGTCCTTGTAATCTCGAGAGAAAGCCTTCCCTCAGAATTCAGGAGGACATAGAAAGCAACCAGGAAGCTTTGGGCTAAAGGGGAGAGTAGCCTTCGGTTAGTGAGACCAGGAACAGACTACATCTATTCCAATACTACTCCTTAGAGTCTAAGGCTTTGGGCTTGACTGTAGGATGAGGAGGTCAAAAAGCAGCCCCACTAGGCGTTTTCATTCTGTTACTATTTTTGTGGGCTGAGGATGAACTTGAATTCATGGTCTAGTGAGAGAGTAGTGAGATGAGAGCAGGTGGGAGCACTGGAAGTAATGTAGTTTGCCTCTTCCACAAGCCTGTCTTTTTCAGTTCACAGTACCCACCTCCTTGTTTATAAATCCCCTTTCCAAAGCAGAAGCTGAGAATAAACTCTTGCCTTTCTTAACCATTCAGCTAAGGGGCCATATTAGTCAAGCAGTCCCAAATGTTGCAAGGGGCTACCAGGAAGAAGCCACTGGAATATCAAGTGCTCTTGAGACTGTGTTCCCCATGAATCCTAGAGGGTCACTTTAGAAACCCTTATTTTCTTATTGTCATCTTTTCTTGCTCTTGGAGCAAGTTTCTGACATATAGAAGTCATCGGCCAGAGAGGACTCTAGAAATGGGATGGGCTGTTACAGCTCAGTGCTCAGCTGCAGAGGAGATGGGAACCATCAAGGAAGGGAGAGCTAAAGCCTGGGAAGTGGACATTTCTGGGATAAGCTCCAAAGGGAGCAGGTGGAGAGCTTTGTGTTTTCTCTCTGGAGGCTTTAAGTTAGGTGTCTAGAGAGAGTAGCCACAGAAGCAAAGATTTCCCCCAGCTGTGTTCCTCCGTAATCTCCAGTCAGGTTAGTGGAGCTGTCAGCTTCCATGCCCACAGCTCCTTTGGAACAGCCTCTCAAGCAGAGTTTTTATGAGCATGCAGAGATGTTACCTTAATGACAGGTCCGCCTGCATTGGAGGAGACAGAGCAGGGGTTGTTCCAAAAGCAGTTCTGTTGACTTCCTTCCCACCACCCTTCCAGCTGCATACACAAACACACACTCACTGGTCCTTATAAAGTGTGTGGGTGACTGGAGCAAGGAATTGGGACCTGGGAGTACACTGCTTTGGTCTGAAGGCAGTCACTCCTTGTTGGCTTTTTATTATCTGGAGACATTTGAAGAGAAGAGGTCGATATTTACCAGACTGATTGGTAACAGACTGTGGGGAAGGGAGCAGTGGATAGTCTCATTCCTTTCTCAGCTGACTGACCAGAGACAGGCTGCATCTCCCACTTCACGCTCCCTGCCTCCCAGGCAGTCTCCACCTACCATTTGAGCTTTAGTAACAACTGCCCCCAATAGAATATCAGTTTCAGGCCAGGCACATTGGCTCACACCTGTAATTCCAGAGCTTTGGGAGGCTGAGGTGGAGGATTCCTTGAGGATAGGAGTTCAAGACCAGCTGAGCAACACAGCAAGACTCCATCTCTTAAAAAAGAAAAAATTAGGCCAGGCGTGGTGGCTCACGCCTATAATCCTAGCACTCTGGGAGGCAGAGGCGGGAGGATCGTTCAAGGTCAGGAGTTCAGAACCAGCCTGAGCAAGAGCAAGACCCTGTCTCTACTAAAAATAGAAAGAAATTAATTGGACAACTAAAAATATATAGAAAAAATTAGCCGGGCATGGTGGTTCATGCCTGTAGTCCCAGCTACTCTGGAGGCTGAGGCAGAAGGATTGCTTGAGCCCAGGTGTTTGAGGTTGCTGTGAGTGAGGCTGATGCCATGGCACTCTAGCCGGAGCAACAGAGTGAGACTCTGTCTCAAAAAATAAAGAAAATATTAGGGCATTTTGGTGTGTGTTTGCAGTCCTAACTACTCAGGATTGAACCACACCACTGTAATCCACCCCAGCCCCAATCTGGGCAACAGAGTGGAAACCCTGTCTCTTAAAAAAAAATCAGTTTCATTTTTCTCTGCTTGTATCCCCAGTTCCTAGAACAGAGCCTGGCATGTAGTTAGTGCTCAATAATTATTTGTTGATTGATTTCCTTCATTTCTCTCTGCAGCTCCAGAAACGTTTCATCCTGAATCTGCCAACCTTCAGCGTTCGAATCATTGACAAAAATGGCATCCATGACCTGGAAAACATTTCCTTCCCTAAACAGGGCTCCTAACATCATGCCCACCCTCCCACTTGCGAGGCAACTTTTTATGATGGGCTCCTTTATTTTTTTCTACTCTTTTGAAGTGCACTCTTGATAGATGGTTAATTCAGAATAAAGCTGAATATGGATAAACTGAGCTCTCTGGTTTGGATCTCAGTTTACCTGACATCACCCTAGAAAGTGGAGGGAGGATTATCTCTCTGCAAGGACTGTCTTTCCTCCTGCCCCTTTCCCTCTATTAATGCTCTTGGTGCGCATTAGCAGCTGACAACCCCATGTTCTACTCCACTGGCCAGCTTCCTTCCCTCCTAACTCTTTCATATACCTTGCTTGCTAATATCGCATTCCCTCTAAAGCAATGGTTCTTTTTGCCCTTAAAGTTTTTAAAATCAATTAAACTGAATAGGTAATACATGTACTTAGTAAAACATGCAAGCAATACAAAAATATATAGTGGAAAATGTTTCTCCCATCCCTGTAATCTATTCACCTGCTTCCCTGCCTGCAGGAAACTTCAGCTACTAATTTCTTTTCTACCTTTTAATAGGGAGGTAGTCTTTTCATTTAGCACCATATTAGAGATTGTTTTATATCAGTACATATAGATCTGCCTTGTTCTTTTTGACAGTTGCGTAATATTCTGTTAATTTGATATACCATGGGCAGTTAACCAGATACCTGTTTTAATCTTAACCTAGTGTTTGGAGAACAGTGTAGATTTTTGATTGAGGCCAATAAAACGGTGGTTCTTGGCTAGGCGCGGTGGCTAACACCGGTAATCCTAGCACTCTGGGAGGCTGAGGCCGGTGGATCGTTTGAGCTCAGGAGTTCGAGATCAGCCTGAGCAAGAGCAAGAGCAAGACTCCGTCTCTACTAAAAATAGAAAGAAAATTACTTGGACAGCTAAAAATACATAGAAAAAATTAGCTAGATATGGTGGCGCATGCCAGTAGTCCCAGCTACTCAGGAGGCCGAGGCAGAAGGATCGCTTGAGCCCAGGAGTCTGAGGTTGCTGTGAGCTAGGCTGATGCCACGGCACTCTAGCCCGGGCAAAAGAGTGAGACTCTGTCTCAAAAAAAAACAAAAACAAAAAAAAACAGTGGGTCTTAGCCACTGCAGTCCCCAATCCCTGGGCTGTGGTTTATTATCAGTCTGTGGCCTATTAGGAAATGAGCTGCACATCACTGCCTGAACTCTGCACCACTCAAAACACCCTATTCCCCCCATTCCTAGTCTGTGCAAAAATTGTCTTCCATGAAATCAGTCACTGATGCCAAAAAGTTTGGGGACCACTGCTTAACCAGATGTGTGTTATCAGAATCACCTGAGGAGTTTTCTTTTTTCGTGTACCTGATTAGATTGCCCTCCTGGATTCTACGTAGGTTTGGTGGCTGAGAGTGGTGGCTCATGCCTATAATCCTGGCACTTTGGGAGGCTGAGGCAAGAGCATCGCCAGAGGCCAGGAGTTTGAGATTGGCCTGAACAAGAGTGAGACCCTATCTCTAAAAAAAAAAAAATTAGCCAAATGTGATGGCACAGGCCTGTAGTCCCAGCTACTCAGGAGGCCGAGGCAGGGAGATCGCTTGAGCCCAATAGTTTGAGGTTGCAGTGAGCTGTGATGGCTCCACTGCACTCTAGCCTGGGCAACAGAGCAAGACCCTGTCTCAAAACAAACCCAAAATAAGTAGGTTTGGGGCCTAAATGGGAACTTTTTAAAAAGCTGCTCAAGTAATTCTTATCTTCACTCATGATAGAGAACCATTGGATTGAAGTTTCTTTGAAGCTGTAGTTCTCAAACTTTAGTGTGCATCCCAACCCCTGTAGGGCTTATTGAAACACAGATTACTGGGTCCTGCCACCATAGCTTTTGCCTGTTTGGGGTGGGGCCTGAGATTTTGCATTTCTGACATTTCTAGTAGATGCTGATGCTGTCGTCTAGGAACCACACTTTGAAGCCCTTTGATCCTGGACTAAGATAAGCCTCCTTTATCCAATCTGTACTACTCTTAGTACCACATACAGATAGGTTTGGTTTGTTCGAGTTGAAATTTATCTTCTAAGATACTACCGGCAGATCATAACATTCATAGTAACGGTGTTAAGGGTTTGGGGATTTTTTGATAGATCCGACATGACCCAAAAGTATTGAATTAACATCAGATTTGGGTGTCTTATACACTTTTTAATATACCAATGGTAAATGCCTTATACCATAAGAAGAAAGCTAATCATTGAATAAATGGGAGAAAAGAGATGATTCATATCATCACAACTGGTTCAACCTCTAACACCACTATAAATATGCATAGGTTTGGGCTTTTAGCTAGATTTCCAAATCTTTTGCTAAGATATCAATTTTACGAGCCGTGCAGGTGATTCTGATGCTCTCTCCAGTAGAGTACCACTAAAGCATAAGCAGTCCTGCTTCTGATTTTTCCCTCTGTAAAATGGTTGAAATTGTACCTATTCCATATGGTAGTTATGAGAATTCCTGTAAACGTTAGTACAGGACGTGGCATGTGGTAAGTGCTCGGTAAGTATATAATTATTGGTAAATTTGTTCTGGTGTCCAGGCCTCACCAGGAATGAAAGGATTCTCTGCTTTTGAATATAAATGTCTTCAGGGCAATCTCAGGCAAGCCTATAAACCCACCCTGACTCTCACCATCTTTTCCCTAACCTTAATCTCTTTCCTGAGCTCCAGATCAACTTGCTTCTAGATATCTCACTCTCCAGCCTTATGTACATCAAACTCAACATGTCTAAAACTGAGCCTTACTATCTGCCCCTTCCAAACCTCTTCTATAGTGTTCCATCTTAAAGATTAGAGCCACCTGGCTCCCAGGGGCCCAAGTCAGAAACTTAAGCATCATTTATTTTTCATAAACTTTTTATTTTGGAATAAATTTTGTTTTATGGAAAGGTTTCAAAGATAATAGAGTTTCCATATAACCCCATTCAATTTCCTATAATAACATCTTGTATACCATGCTGTATTTGTCAGAACTAAGAAATTAACATTGGTTGGTACATTTGTATCAACTAAGCTCTAGCCTTTATTCAGATTTCACCAATTTTCCCTCTAGTGCCCTTTTTCTGTTCTAAGATACAATCCAAGATACTACATTGCATTTAACTGGGCATTTTTTATGCAGTTCTTTATCTCTTCATGTAGTCACTAAGTTCTGGCATTTCTACTTTCTAAATCTCTTTTTAAATCATCCCAGTTATTCTGGTTCATTCCCTGTCTTTCTTGGACTATTTTAATAGCTTCCTAACATCACTCTACTTTTAATCTCTTCCTTCTCCAGTTCTTTCTCCATGCTCTAAAATTTGTTTGATCATCCGCTCTCGCTTAAAACTTTCTGATGGTTTACCATAGCTTAGAAAATAAAGCCCAATTATTTGGTTTGACATGCTGGGGCATTTCATAATACCCTCCCAACCTAACTCCCCTGTTTCCTTTCCCTCTTCTATATTTCATAAAGCCTATGATCCAACTAGATTTGCATGGCCTCAGTCGTACATTCATGACTCACACCTATATATTTACCTACTGTAAAAAGGGAAAGCATTCTTTTGTGGAACTTTTCTTATGGTTCTATGTATGTATGTGTGTGTTGAGTCATGATGCAGTGCACTCTGGTATCTTCTGTTTTCTGCTGGATTTTATTTTTTTAAATGTCAGCTGTGTCCTTTAAATCAATTTCCTGAAGTTTGAAAAACATTGGTAAATGTACCCATACTTTAACACTCCTGGCCAAACACTGTTCAGAATGGTCTTCCAATTAGTTCCCATCTGCTTTCAGGTGATTAATACACAGAAAACAATTTATTCCTTCCTGGGTTTAGGGTGGCAGGCAGATAAGTTGGAGAAGAGAGCAGCTGTTTTGCCTAAGGGTAGGGAAGCTCAGTCCTGACTAGTGAAGAGATAGGAAGGTTGACAAGGGACCTCTGAGAGAGATGGAAGAGGGCGCTGAAGTGGCTAGAGAAGCTCTTGGTGTTGCCAGCTGAGTGACAGCGGCTGGGCCTGCTCTGCCTGAAGTCTAGAGTCCTTTTACTCTCTGACCTTGGCCCTTTGACTGAAGCAGCTGCAGTGACCAAGGAAGAAAAGGAGGTGCATTCTCCAATTCTGAGTGTCTGCTGCTCACTTAGCTCCTATGTGTATATTATGAGTAAGTGTATTTGGGAGGAGAATCGCCTGCACTTCAGCCTCATTTACCTTTCTTCATGAGTATCAAAGGAGGGAAGGTTTTCAAAGCCTGTACTTTTCTTATTTCTCCTGGAATACTATGATCCTTTGAAAGAAAACAGGAATCTTTTGTTTAAACCCCTACAGTGTGAAAATTGGAATGCTTACCCAGTCTAAATAGTCTCCACTTAATTTGCAGCTACTTGCTTTGCAAAAAAGAAGCCATGTAAACTATCCATGTATACTTTTTCTTTAATCATCATCTACTTTTCCTTACGGCAAAACCCAGCCAGTCAGAGGCTAAAACAATTTGTTTTGCTATGGGAAAAAAATTAAAAACAACTTAATGGGAAGAATCAAATGCTGAGACCTCATTAGAAGCTTCTTATGCCACTTCTACAGTCTCCACACTGTCCTGCTTCCTCTGCACTGTTAATGATCCTGGCCATATGCTGGCATAGCAGGGCCTTGGGGCATGAGGGGCTGGGAAGACCTGCCTCCCCTCGCTGGGGTCAAGCCTGTGAGCCTCTCTGCAGCGGGGCATGTGGTGCAGTAGAAATGAAGGGAGGGTTGGATCAGACAGATGTGTGAGTCCCACATACTTGCTCTGTGACCTTGGGCAAATTGCTGTGATTACAGTTTTCTTATTCCTAAAGTAGGACTTGGTGAAGACTACATGGTCCTTTCCTTGGAGAAAGTTGTCCAACCCTGAAAAGTTTTTGATGAACTAATTTATTCCTTGTTTACCCTCTGGATATTTACAACCTCTTATTGATTTGTTACTATATTCCAGGCATTGTTTAAGTGTTACATGCCTGTTATTTAATCGCCTCAACCTTCCATAGTCTAAGATAATTTTAGTAATATAATGTCTTTTCCTAGGCCCTGGGCTTCAGTTAAAGCAAAGCGTACATTCAGCCTTCTCCTTCCATTCCTCCTCTCATATTGGTGAGTTGAGGCATTAAAACTTCTTGGGAAAAGAAATCTTTGGGCCCCTATTCTGAGAAATGATGCCTAGACTCTGTGTTCCTAGAACACCCTTCACTTCTGCAAAGCAGCCCAACACCTATCCCTGATGCACACCTGCAAAGACATGGGGGACAGCATGCCAGGCAAACAATAGTGAGACCCTGAGGCATGAAACAAAGTGATAGTTTGAGGGATAGAAAGGAAACCAGTGTGGTTGGAGCAAAGTGAGTGACAGAGAGAATAGTTTAAGATGAGGTTGGAGAAGGTGGTAAAGTCCAGATCATTGCAGGGCCTTAGTATCAAGGTGTACCAGAGAAAACAGGCCAGCTGGGAGACTATTGCAGTAGTCCAGAAAACTAGGGTGGTGGCAGGAGAGGAAAGAGGATAGACTCAGAATTCATAGGACTCTGAAGGATTGAGTGTAGGGGAAGAATCAAATATACTCCCTAGTTTCTGGCTTGAGCAACTAATAGGGTAGAAGGTGGAGCCATTTACTTAAGGGTGGGGGGACAGTCTAGGAGAGGTCAACTGAGTACTTAAGCCAAGTATTCCATTTTGGACGTAGTTTTAGATGCCTGTTAGACAATTTAGCAGAGACATCAGGCAGACAGTTATACATCAAAGCCTGGTGTTCAGGGAACAGTCTGGGCTGAAGATACAAATTCAGGAGGTAGCAGCATATAGATGACATTGAAACCCATGGGATTGAATGAGACCATCTAGGGAGAGTAGATAGAAAAGAGAAGGCCAGCACTTAGAGGTCAAGGAGAAAAGGAGCCAGTAAAGAAGATAATTAGAACCAGTGAGGTCAGAGGAAACCAGAAGTTGGGAATCACAGAGAAGAGAGTGTTTCAGAAAAGTGCAAGTGGGCAATTGTGTCAAATACTGCTGTTGAAACCAGAAAAAAAAAGCCTTTTGGATTTGACATTGTGATCATTGATGACTGTGCGGAATGTGTTTCAATAGACTGGTAGGGATAGAAGCCAGATTGAAGTGGGCTGAAGGGTGAATTGAGGGTGAAGGGGAGGTAGCGGTATAGCAATCTTTCAAAAACTTTAACTGCAAAGGAAGTAAAGAAATGGGGAAAGATTTATGTTTTGTAAGATAAGAGAGGCTAGAACATGTGTGCTTTGAGGAATGATCTAGTAGACAATTAAGTAGAGAGGGAGAGACTGATGATACAGGAAAGAAAATATGCCCGAAAGGTGAAATCCTCAAGAAGACAGGACAGCTGGATTAGCATTTGCCTGATATACACACACACGTGCATACACACTCACACAGAGTTCACCAGCATTCACACTGACACATACCCACCAGTGGTCATGGTAACTAATCACCTAACAGCCAAACTGACACATTCATCCACAGTCCCCCTAGCCCACCAAGTCATAATAATGCACATACAGTAGTCACTTGACACACACAAACAGCCACACTGACAATCCAGATGGACCCACCAACCTCAGTACCCCCCACCCACAGAGGTGCCCACACCTCCCTTCCATGGTCCCCCCTTAGAGACCCCTGCCCACCCAATCCCCACTCCTAATTTCCAGGCCCTTCCTCTTCCTGGTGACCTTGCCCTCATAGGAGGCAAATCCAGACCAGGGCTCAAGAACAGGGAAGGCTTCATATCCATTGGAAGGCTTTATTAGAAGAATAAGTGATGACGAGGTGGGGAGGTACATCAATTGCAGGGCCAAGAGAGACAATTGCAAATACAAAAATCCCAGCAACAACCTCAGCGTTCCTGACACAGCTTTCTTCCCTCCCAGCCCACCCACAGCCCTTTGCGAGCAAAATCACCCTCTCCATCCTAGTCCAGCTGGACATCTTGGTGCATGAGCAAGTGCATGAAAACAGTGAAATGAATCCCCAACTCATTGGGATAAATAAATTGCACTGGACATTTTTAAACGTTCAAATTTAAGTACAAGATAAATAAATAGGACAGACAGCAACAGGACTGTGAAGTGCAGCCTGGATTCAAGTTCTGCAGTTTGTGCTTTAATCTTTGTTCCTTGAGCGCCCCTCCTGCCCACTTCTCTCTAAGAGTGTGGGAATGGTCCATACAGCCCACTGGGGCTTCCTGCCAGCACCCCTATTCTAGGGGTAAGAGATTCTGGGATGAGGGGCACCGACTCCTCAGTAGCACCTGTGATTTATTAACAACTAGGAGTGCCCACTGCTGCCTAGGCACTCTAATGAGAAGAGCTCTGCTCTCACCCCATGAGCCAGACTTTTCCATGCCAATTTTCTACCCAAGCCCTTCCCAGCAATCAAAGGTCAGAAAATTGCACATGTGAGACAGATACATGGGCCCTTAACTTACCAACAAACCACCACAGAGAGATCACCCTCCCTTACCAACCCAGATCCCTAATTCTAGGGTTTCTGGATGAATGTTCTTTTTCTGGCCTCACTCTAATCCCACCTTTCAGTCCTTTCAGGCCCACCCCCAGGAGCTAAGGCCTCATTTTAGGCCTTGGGAGCCCCCTTGGGCTGGAGCTGGAGAAGTGGTTATTTCCGATGCTTGGCATCCTTCTCTGAAGCCTTGGTGTCGCCATGCCCACTGCCTGCACTGCTTAGAAACATCTTGTCCAGCCCTTTGAGTGACTCCAGCAGGTAGTTCTGGAAGGCAGTGAGGGCGGCACAGATGGCAGGCCCGCCAAAACCATGGGTGATGAGGCTAAAGTGCGTCAGGCAACTCTGCACTCCAGGCTCCAGAATGAGTGCTGGGCGGCTGTTGCCCAGTGGCGAGCGGTCCTGAGCCATCAAGTCCGCAAATTCCTTGCAGATCTGCCTGGTGGGGAAAGAGGGTCACAGGTTAGAGAAAAAAGGTCTGAGCCCAGAGAAGGACCTCTTATCTGCTAGGCACTTCATATACATTGTCTATATGACAGCTGACCCTGCCAACAGTGTTCAAATGACGATCAAACCCATTTTGCAGAAAAGAGAACTAAGGTTCAGAGAAGTTAACTGACTAGTCTAACATCACACAGCTAGGAAATAGCACATGTCAGTACCCTATGGTCTCTCTCCTTTGGATGTCCTGCTAAATTCAAAGTACAGCTCAACTACTTACCACCTTATCTAGGAAAATGTTTTGAGCCCCTCTCCTGCCCCAAACACCCAATGCTTCACAGAACTTTGTCTTTGAAATTATTAGGGAACAATCCAGAATCTGCTTTGTGTAACTGAATCGCTAGCAGTGAATATTGAGGCCTAGACGCTGTGCCAAATACACTGTATGCATCATTTCACTTAATCCTCTCCACAAATCTATTATTATCCTCGTGGTATGAATGAGGAAACTGGTTTCAGACAGGTTAGATGACCAAACAAAGTGACCTAGGTGGGACCTGAATCCAGCTCTAGTCAGCCATTATTCATTCCTTTGTGTATCCTGTGTGTGGCTCGGGCAAGAGAATCACTCATCACTCATCTTTGTGTCACCGAGGAACCTAGCCAGCATCTTAGATGTGACTGGGACCCAGAACGTACTTGCTGAGTGCGCTGACTACTGAATGAGGTGAGCCCCGCCCCGATGTGTTTCTCCAGCTACAATGTGAGCAGCCTCAGAGGTTTCTCCATGGGCCTGGTGAGTCTGTGCTTCCTCTTTGCCTAGGGGACTGGAGGGAAGCCTCACAGGAGAGAGTGTGGGGGTGCCATTTGAAGGCCCACGTTAGGTGGGAGGACTGGATGGTGTTCTAAGCAGGAGACGGGCAAGCCCAAGGATGTGAGGTCAGGAGAGTGGGTGGAGTCTATGCAGGCCAATTTGTGGGGCCCTCAAAGGACTTTGGACTTAAGTCCACAGATTGATGGTTCTCAATTTCTCTCTCTTTTGCTCCCTCTTTCTCTCCCCTTCTCTGTCTTTTCTTGCAATGGGATTGTTATGGTCTGAATGCTTATGTCCCCCCAGAATTCATATGTTGAAATCTTATACCTCCAGGTGATAGTATTGGGAGGTAGAACCTTTGGGAGGTGATTAGGTCATAGGTGTGAAGGCCTTATAAATAGGATTAGATAAGAAGCCAGAGAGAGACCTCCTGTCCGTTCTATAATGTGAGGACACACAACAAGTTGCAATCTGTGAGCCAGAAAGCAGGCAGACAGGGATTCTGCCTTGATCTTGAGCTTCCCAGCCTCCATAACTCTGAGAAATAAATTTCTATTATTTATAAGCTACCCAGTTTATGATATTTCATTATAGTAGCCCAAATGGACTAAGACAAGGGCCCTTTCTGAAAAACTAAATCTTTTTTTTTTTTGAGACAGAGTCTCACTCTGTTGCCTGGGCTAGAATGCCGTGGCGCCAACCTAGCTCACAGCAATCTCAAACTCCTGGGCTCAAGCAATCCTGCCTCAGCCTCCCAAGTAGCTGGGACTACAGGCATGCACCACCATGCCTGGCTAATTTTTTCTATATATTTTTAGTTGTCCAGCTAATATCTTTCTATTCTTTTAGTAGAGATGGGGTCTTGCTCTTGCTCAGGCTGGGAAAAACTAAATCTTAATGGAATACTAGTTTCTTAAATAGGCCTTGTTTGAGTTCAACTGGCAACAAATAAATAAAAATAAAATAAAATAAATAAATGAATGAATGAATAGGCCCTGAGATGTCCCCACAGACCTAGTTTGAAATTCAATGCAGCAACAGTGGGAGTCATTGAACATTCTTGTGCAGGAGGGCAGTGCATGAGCAGGGAGTTGAGGGAATGGGGACTCTGGGGTGAAGGTCCAGGAGTGAGATGAGACCTGAGTTGAGGTGGCAGCATGTGAACGGTGGTGAGGAAAGCACCAAGGGGACTTGCAGAGGGTCAGGTGTGACCTGGTGGCCTGATGGACATCACTGGAACAGTGGGGCTGACGGGTAAGGCTTGAAGAGGGACCTCAGACCCACAACAGGGCCTGGGGCTGGTGGTGCCATGGGTCAAGGTATATGAACCTAGCACCCACACATGGGCCTGTGTAAGCCTGTATGTGACATAGTTTTTACCAATGCATAGCACCCAGATATGTTCATATGTAGTGTTCATGTGCACCCCTAGGTGCTCGTGAGGAATGATCATGTTTGTCTGAATGTAATGAACATGATGGCCAAATATGCCCACATGTGGTGCCCAAGTGTGCCCCTGTGAGCCTAAGCAGGGAGCCTAGATGTGTCTCTGGTGCCATGTAGGCTATATGCGCAGGTGTGTGCTCATGAGTGGTGTCCATCGTGCTCATATGATGCTATGATGACTGCCTGTGCATTGCACCTGTGTGTGTCCGTGCATGGCACCAGTGACAGCCTGTGCGTGGTATCCTCACTCACTTGGCGGCCAGCAGCATGCTCTTGCGGCTGTGCAGTTCCCCAGGGTCTGCATGCTGTCGGCACAGGTACTCGGCGGCCGCTTTGGCTGGGAACTCCGTCTCACAGACATAGCCGAAGTCTCGGGCCAAGTGCACGGCCTCGCCTAGGGGGAGGAGAGCTGTCACTTGCTGCCAACTTGTGCCACTCTGAGCCTGGGGCACAGCCTTAAAGCGCCAAACCCCTGGCAAGGGGGCACTCTGCCCCACACTGCTTCTGTAGATGCCCCCTCTGGCTTTCCTTCCAGCCTCCACTCCATTGCCCACCCTTGGGGCCACCAGGGATGGGCTCTGAGCTCAGAGATGAGAGCTGGGCCCACCATGTAGCCCAGAGCCAGAGCCCAGAGCCACTAACATCCAGGGAAGGGGTTCTCATTCCCTTCATTCCTTTACCACATCCAGATACTGGCCACTACTTCCCCTATACACACACACACATGCTGCAGGTAGTTCTCTGCTGCACCTGCATGCATACATGCACAAAGACTATACACAGATATCATACACACTCCATACTTATGCATGACACATAGAGAGTATGCACACAGATACAGCAACATGTATGCAAATATACATAACACCTGAATAAACACAGCCTCCTGCATTAGATATGGTCACATCAGATGACACGCGTTCCCTCGAATTCACTCTCATGCCCACATTCAGGCCTCCCTCACCCTCCACCAGTGAAGTCAGCAGCGTCACATTGGCAGCCTTGCGTCGGCCAGCTGGCAAGTTGAGCCCGATCTTCTCCAGCCGTTCCCGCAAGCACCGGCCTCCATTTTTGGACTTGGCCCTTGACATGCACAGAGAGAGACAGACACACAACTATGAAGACAAGAGAGAAGCATGTAGGCTAAGTGACCCCAAAAGAGCTTTGTTGCCCCCACCAACCCCTGCTGAGGCTTGGGTCTGGCCCTGGGAATGCCCTGGGGTCTCTTACAGCAAGGTCCCAACCTCTTGCTAGCCTCACTAGTTTTACAGCCAAGACAGAGGCAGGGGGCCCAGCACCCAGCTCCAGGGGCCCTTCGATCCTCCCCAGTCTCTCAACAGCAGGGGCAGCCTAGGGTGGAGCATGATAAGCCAGCATCATGGGGTCCTTAGCACACCAGCTGGGCCATACACAGCCACCCAGGGATGCACAGATACACAGGGAGCTGGGGAGAAAGGTATGCACGCAGCCACCCTGGGACTCACAGACACACACACAGACACACACACACCCCCACAGATGGGTACACACTGAGGGCCCAGAATACGGAGACACATAGACACCAACAGAGACAGACATATGCAAAGACCCCCAGACTCAGAGACACAGGATCACAGCCTGTCAGTATCCCAGGGACATATGTAGACACTCAGGGATTCATAGAGACCCTCAAAGAGATGCTCAAAAATACCAGGAATAAGGAGATGCCCCCTACAACTGCACCAGTGCAGGTCCCACACAGAGGTACAGACATGTAAACATACATAATTCTAGCTCAAGATGCACTTGCAATTACACACACATGCACAAATGCACACAGCAGGACACACTCCAGCCCAACACCACACAAGAAGTAACACAGGACACTCACACTCATGGAAACAGAGTCCTGGCCATCCCCTGCTACACACATACACACACGTATACACTGTCCTTGGACTCATCAAAACTCACAACCCCTAGGCTGGGCAAGGTGGCTCACGCCTGTAATCCTAACTCTCTGGGAGGCCGAGGTGGGTGGATTGCTCAAGGTCAGGAGTTCGAAACCAGCCTGAGCAAGAGCGAGACCCCGTCTCTACTAAAAATAGAAAGAAATTAATTGGCCAACTAAAAATATATAGAAAAAATTAGCCAGGCATGGTGGCGCATGCCTGTAGTCCCAGCTACTTGGGAGGCTGAGGCAGAAGGATTGCTTAAGCCCAAGAGTTTGAGGTTGCTGTGAGCTAGGCTGACACCACAGCACCCTAGCCCTGGCAACAGAAACTGTCTCAAAAACAAAAAAAACAAAAAACAACTCATAGCCTTGAAGCAGACACGCCCTTCCCAGGCACAAGGACATGCACAGAGAGAGACAAACACATGACTATGAACACAAACCATGGACTACCAGGCTCCCCACCCCAAAACACACACAGGTGAAGCCTATGCTGCCACAGGGAATGGGCCTTGGGTCCCGGGGGTCCCTTTCCTGGGGGAGGGGGTAAAGATGGCACTCTTTTCCCCAGACCCAGCCTTGTCCATCTTGCCCAACGTGGGTGAGTCCTGCATCCCTTCCCTGTGCCCCGACTTCTTCCTCTTCCCCCCTCCCTACCCGCAAGCCACAGACCTGTAAGAGCTGCTGGGGACCTGGGCCAGTCTGCAGAGCATGCACAATCTAGAGTCCCTGGGGCCTCTTATCCCAGGGAGACTGAGACAAATGACACTGTGGCCAGGGGTGGGCTGGCTCCCTCTCTCTGCTGCCCTGAGCAGGGCTGAGGACACCGGGGATTTCAGCCAGAGCGCTGTGCAGGGGACATGGGCTGGCCTTCCTACCTGCGGAGGACGCCCCCCAGGAGGGAGGCGTTGAGGCACTCTGGAGGCGAGAGTCGCCGCTGCACCTCCCCCACCGTCACCTTGTACTTGGACGTTGAGCTGAGTAGCGAGAGCCGGCCGGGCACGGAGCAGAAGACCTCACCGGGGTTCGTGATGCCACCAACCAGGCTGTCTTTAGCCACCACCAGGGCTGAGAGGCTGCTGCCTTTAGAGGGGACGGGCACTGTGGAGCCGGGGCAAGAGCAGGGAGAGAGGGAAGCACTGAGGCAGTGGCCACAGCACACGGCACCTGCTGCCAACCCTGTACATGGGAACATCCAGCACCTTTTGAAGGAAGATTCTATTATTTACTTGCTTTACAGAGGGAGAAACTGAGGCATGGTGAGATTAAAGTGACTCACCCAAGTTCACTGAGATAACAGGTGAGGAAACTGAACTGAGAGCTGTCTGGCTCTTGAACCCCTCACTGAGCCAGGCTGGTCCCCTCTTAAAACTCAGTTTCAGCAGAGTCTTGGTGTTTTGGCAGTGCCATCAGAGAGGGAGCTTGCCGTGAGGACGTGGGGTCTGAGCTGGAGGCAGGATTCCTGGGTCACTGCAGCAGGGCCTGGCCAGGGAGTCCCCAGCTTTTCTTCCCACCTATGATTCCACGTCTTTCTTCCCTCCCCCACAGATCAGCGAGGAGCCTGGGGCCGTTGGACTCCACATCCTGAGGACAGGCAGGTTATTGCCCTATTAGGCTTCCAGCCCTGGCCCCTTCCTGCCAAGTCACTCTGTGATGCCCAGGAGACCAGGAATAAGGAGATACGCCCTACAGCCCCCTCCCCCAAATACTCCTTAATTATCTACTAATTATTTCTGAAGGGCAGAGAAGGGAATCTGAGAAGTTAATTTTCTAAAACTCACTTAGATACTCTTGGCTAGAAAGTTCTTTCTGCAGTCTACCTCCATCCTCCTGCCTAGCCTGAGGAGGAAGGGAGAATATTAAGGCACCTGCTTCTTCAGAGGAACCCTTGGCCTTCTCTGCTTTCAAGGAAGTGGGAGTCTTGGTGGACAAGGCCCTGTGTGTGTGTGTTGGGCGTGGGGACAAGTTGGAGTCTGGGGCTAACACTTACTGAGCACTCACTAGGCTGTGTTCTCTTAGATCACCTCACTGAATCCTCAGGACAGCCCACAAGGGCCTATTTTTATTCCTGCTTTACAGAGTAGACTGACGCTCAGGGAGACGACGTAGTATGCCTGAGATCACACACCTGGTGGGCTGAGAAGCAGTAGCAAACCCAGGGCTGTGATCACAAAGGCAGTGCTCTTAGTCTGCCAGCCATTCGGCAAGTATTTGCTGAGTGCCTATGTGCCAAGACCTGTGCTAGACCTTGGGAATACTGCAGTAAACAAGGCTAATAACTGTCCCTAACCTGGTAGAACCTCCTACTCTTTTCCTTCTCTGAGCATTTCTACCCTCCACCTGGCCACCTAGCCAGAAACCTAAATGTTTCCCCCACCACATACCATCGATCACCACGTCCTACGGCTTTCATTTCTTTACGTGACCCACATGTGGCCACGTCTCTGCATGCACACAGACGCTAGCTCCCTTCTAGCCTGAATTTCTGCACAGTCCCTACTCTGGTCTCCCTACCCTTCTCCAGAGGGATCTTTCCCTCTGGATGCATCACTCCGCAGCCTGAAACTCATCAGTGCCCAATCAGTTCCCTGAGAGTCCAATACCAGCTCCATAGCTGGGCAGAATGATGTCCCCTACCTGCCAATGAGTGCCAACTGTATACCAAGCACTTTATATGAACAGCTCTGAGGAGCAGATGCTATTATCCCAACCCCCTTTCAAAATAAAGACACTGAAAGTTCAAAGAGGTTCCAGTGGCAAAGCAAGTAAGCAGCAGGAATGGGCCTTGAACTCTGACCGTTGACCCCAAAGTCCACGTCCTTAACCATCATGGCCTCCTTCACCCTCTCCCGTGTTCTGGCTCCTGCCTGCCCCTCTTGCCTGGTTCCCATTTGTCCTCTAGCTCTAGACTCATGCTGACCAATAGAAACATAATGTGAGCCACATATATAAATCTATATTTTTCCAAGTATCTACACTTTTAAAAAGTAAAAAGAAATGTGAGACTAATTTTAATTAATATAATATTAAATAATGTATTTGATATATTTTATTTATCCCATATATAAAAATATAATTATTTCTATCTCCAACAAACAAAAAAAAAGAAAAAATACAAAAATAAAAAGAGAAAAAATTTATATTATAAAAAATATATATATATTAATTATTTCAAAATGTAATCAGGGCTGGGTGTGGTGGCTCACACCTGTAATCCTGGCACTCTGGGAGGCCGAGGCGGGCGGATTGCTCAAGGTCAGGAGTTCAAAACCAGCCTGAGCAAGAGCGAGACCCCGTCTCTACTATAAATAGAAAGAAATTAATTGGCCAACTAATATATATAGAAAAAAATTAGCTGGGCATGGTGGTGCACATGCCTGTAGTCTCAGCTACTCGGGAGGCTTAGGCAGTAGGATTGCTTGAGCCCAGGAGTTTGAGGTTGCTGTGAGCTAGGCTGACGCCACGGCACTCAGTCTAGCCTGGGCAACAAAGCGAGACTCTATCTCAAAAAAAAAAAAAAAAAAAAATGTAATCAGTAAAAATTATTACAGAGATGTTTCACTTTTTTATACTTAGTCTTAAGAATCCAATGCATTTTACACTTAAGGTCAACTCAGTTCAGACTAGTCACATTTCAGGTGCTCAAGGGCCATACATGGCTAGTGGCCACCCTGGTGGCTCCAGACTTCAAGCAGGGGGGTGGGCACAACAGGTAACATAGTAAGTGAGCTGCGGAAGTGGGGACACTGGCAGGCTGGAGCAGACACTGTGTAAGTCCTGCCAGGCAGGACACAGACCCAACACTGCCAGAGCTCCTGAGGTTTTTTTGTTGATGGTTTTGAAACTATGATTCTGGATTCTTATGTGAAATCTCTGGATTTTTTTTTTTTTCTTGAGACAGGGTTTCACTGTGTCACCCAGGCTGGAGTGCAGTGGCATCATCATAGCTCACTGTAACCTCAAACTCCTGGGCTCAAGTGATCCACCTGCTTCAGCCTCCCAAGTAGCTGGGCCTACAGACATGTGCTACCATGCCTGGCCAATATTTTTACTTTTTTGTAGAAATGAGGTCTCACTGTGTTGCTCAGGCAGATCTGAACTCCTGGCCTCAAGCAACCCTCTGGCTTGGGCCTCCCAAAGTGCTGGGATTACAGGTGTTAGCTACCATGCCCAGCCGAAATCTCTGGATTTTTTTTTTTTTTTTTTTTTTTTTTTGAGACAGAGTCTCACTTTGTTGTCCAGGCTAGAGTGAGTGCCGTGGCGTCAGCCTAGCTCACAGCAACCTCAAACTCCTGGGCTTGAGTGATCCTTCTGCCTCAGCCTCCCGAGTAGCTGGGACTACAGGCATGCGCCACCATGCCCGGCTAATTTTTTATATATATATCAGTTGGCCAATTAATTTCTTTCTATTTATAGTAGAGACGGGGTCTCGCTCTTGCTCAGGCTGGTTTTGAACTCCTGACCTTGAGCAATCCGCCCGCCTCGGCCTCCCAAGAGCTAGGATTACAGGCGGAAATCTCTGGATTTTTAAGCATTGGCAACTGATTCAAAGATTTTAAACCCAGTACAGACCAAAGGGAACCTGTGTGAAGTGTCCCCTGGGATGTGGGCCCTTTGGGTGTGACCTCCTTGAGCCCTACAGAGCTGCTCTGTCTGTCCCAGGGCCCTTCTCCCTGCTACTGAGCAGAGGGCCCTCCTTCCCAAGCCAAGTTTAGGCACCACTCCCAGCACAGAGCTTCCCTCAAGCTCTCTCTCACCCCATCCCTGGACTTGCCAAATGATGTCTCCCTTGTCTGCTCCCATAGCTGTCTTCCCCACCAGCTAGGAGTATGCTGAGAGCAGGGTTAGCTCAGGTGGCCATCCGTGAATGTGGAACAAGTAAGTGATGCAAGGGCCCAGGGATCCCACATGGGAAAAGGGTTATGGCCCACAGCCCAGATGTCGGGGGTAGTGACGGGAGCCTCATTCCTTTGCTAGCAATGGATAATAAACCTGCCCTTTCTCCTTGGGTCCCCATTCCGGCACCAGGGAGGGGCCAAAAGATCATGGATGAGGGGAAAGTGGGGAGTTGGGAGGATGTGGAGAGAATGAGCAGCACACTGCCCCACTGCCCGCCCCCTGCCCCAGTGAGTTTACTGTCCACAGGGCAGGGCCACAACTGTGCAGTACTTAATGAGGCACCAAAAAACACAGTAGTTAAGATATATGGTATTTTAATGCAATATTTTAAAAAAGAAAAATGTAAAAAAAAAAAAATCCATGGTGAACAAAATACCAAACTTTTGAATAAAGGTGGGTTCTGATCCTGCTCTCACACGACCTTGCCTCATTCGCCCTCCCCTAGTCCTGGCCCTGCCCCAGACTGAGCAGCCAGGACTGCCTGATTCAGCAGGACACAGCACTGGACATGTACTAGGAGCCAGCCTTGGCCCTGCCCTGTCCCTCCCACAGTATCTCCCAGGCCTATGCACATCTGAACCAAGCTTCTCTCTTCACCTGTGTCCGTCTGCCTGAAGGGGCGATGGAACTATTCTATAGCTCAATTGTTTTAGTGGTTACATAAGTATATGTATACATTTGTCAAAATTTGTAGAAATGTACATTTTAAAAATGTGAAGTATGCTGCATATAAATTATACCTCAAGCATGACCTTAAAAAAATAGGGGGGAGGGGGGCATGGGCAATATACATAACCTTAACATCTGTACCCCCATAATATGCTGAAATAAAAATAAATAAATAAATAAATAAAAATAAAACTACAAACTGATAAATTAAAAAGAAAGGAAAGTGACTGTCTTCCCTCCCATCACCCCTGGCCAGAAGGAGGGATTGGAAGAACAGGAAATTCTCTCTTCCAGCAGCCTCCTCCATCCAACTGCTGCTAAAACCTGGGCCCACTGAGGCCAGGCCCTGTGGGAGGGGAGAGAGACCAAGGGTGCGTGAAGCTGTTTGTGCATGTGCAAATGTGGACGTGTGTCACCAAGTGACTGTACATAAAAACTGTACGCCCTTGTCATAGAAACAGCAATGAGGATAAGATTGTGTATGTATACACTTGCTCATTCAACAAATACTGAGCCACAGCTACATACCCAGA